TAGAGTGAACTAAGGCAGTGCCGCCGCCTAAGTAACCTGTGTGTGACTTTACCACAAGTGTACCTGTATGGTACCACAGCCGCAGCCAGCCACCACTTGTCCCGAGTGTGTACCTCTGTACCTCAGTACCTCGAGGTGCCCGCCGCCCTCACTACTACGTGACGTCACCACCTTACTCATCGCCAGTGCCAGTGTGTGCGTGTGTCTGTCTGTTAAGCATACAGCACGCCCTACTGCAAGTACCCTCCGTATCTATGAGCGAAACCTGCTGTCAGGCCACCAACGAGTGCTTGTATAAATGTGCCTGAGTGAGTAAAGAAGGGTACCCCATCTGTAAGTACAAGATCTTGTCATTGTTTTATTGTGTCTGTGTTGATCTGAGATATCAACCACAGTTCTCACCTTCTCATACCTGTCACAGGTTATAGGTGAATCGACGGTGAATGCGTGTTTATCTGTGTGGAATCACGGCATTTCACTCGTCTGTTGAATGTGAGTTTCACATACACCACACATTTAGTTATTGTGTGTGATTATTATTGTGCATGTTATTGCCTGTCCCATTGACAGTGCCATTGTGATTTATTGCATATCATCATTACCCGAGTATCCGGTTGGAACTCTTGTGATCCCTTTGCATACCGGCAGTTAGGTTGCCGTGTTAATGATTGGCTGTCAACTGTGTTAAGTTAGGTGTTTCTCCACGAGTGGATAAGAGTCGTTTAGCCAGACTTCAAGAGTCCCGCTAATATAACCATAGCCTTGCTGACACCAATCTAAAGTAAATCAAGCACCCTGTGTATTAGTGGTTAAGTTAGTAAATAAAGTTAAGCTTTATATGCGGTGTTTCCGTTGAACCACTTCTGAATACTGCCAACATTACTCAAGCCTTCAGCTCTAAGTGTCTTCAACACCGAGTTGCCTATTATTCACTAAACTATAAATGTGATGAGGACCCTAGGAGTCCCTTAAAGTGTTAAATCATTGAGGAGATTCCAACGATCAATATGGAGCAGGACCAGGTGAGGCTAGTCTGAGAAGAGACCCTCAAGGACTCTAACTCGACCTTGCTCCCAGGCCCTGTACGGTTGCTCTCGTATTTTCTATTTTGCTAATTACGACAGCTTCGTGAAGCGTCTGCCACATGTACATTGACGACGTACGCATTGCAGTCGTGAAAGCAGAAAAGAAAACCCCCACACCTGACCTTAAAATCTTCCTAGAAAGTTGTAACAGAAACCATGAGCACCACACCAGAAACAAATACCTATTTGATATTCCAAGAGTATGACTTAATCAAACTAGAAATGCTCTACAAATCAAGGGACTTAGAATGTGGAATGACCTTCCCAATCACGTCAAAGACTGTACCTCTCCTAACCAGTTTAAGATAAAAACTAAGTCCTACCTAATTACCTCCATGTAACCTACCCTACCCCCAAATGTCAGCTCATGTCTTACTATTTTAAACAATGCTGTTTGTTTACCAAATTGTATATTTGCTTTTTTCTGCCATGTTCCCCCCCCCCCTTTTTTATTTTTTTCAACACAATTTACACTTTAATCTCAATTAGTATTAAGTTTAAGTCTGAGTGTTTTCCTGCCCGAAACGCTTCGTGTAATAGTGGCTTTAGGCTTTGTATATACTAGCGCTATGTATAAATCCATCAATGTTTGTATCTCACCTTGTATGTATGTACTTTACCTGAATAAACATTAGATTTGATTTGATTTTATTATAAAATCGATCCTCTATGTTGTGTAGTAGAGAAAAAATGAGTTATATCTTGAGATTATCTTGAGATGATTTCAGGGCTTTAGTGTCCCCGCGGCCCAGTCTTCGACCAGGCCTCCACCCCCAGGAAGCAACCCGTGACAGCTGACTAACACCCAGGTACCTATTTTACTGCTAGGTAACAGGGGCATAGGGTGGAACTGTCCATTGTTTCTCGCCGGCGCCGGGATCAAACCCGGGACCACAGGATCACAAGTCCAGCGTGCTGTCCGCTCGCCCGACCGGCTCCCTCCAGTTTACATAAAGCTATGAGTGGTCGACAGCACTCTTAGCACGACGGAGCATACTTACGAAGATTTTCCTTCTTAAAAGTGTACCTGAATACTGACGTAGCCGCTACAAAGGTGCTAAGAAAGAAAAACATTCGTAAGTACCTTCGTGAATCTGGCCCCAGTTCTCCTGGTGATACTCTTATTTCCAAGACAGGAATGCCATGTACTATGTAATGAGTACAATGCTAACCATTTCATGGTGCTAGGAAGCATTAGTGCAAGAATGAGCTGAGTGTTTTGTGATAAAGCTTAGCAGGGATTCAGACTAATGAGATGCTTCAGTATTATATATACAGTAGTTATATAATCAATGATCTTTTAGTGACTACTGAGTGCTAACTGGCAATTTTGCTATCAAGTGATTTATGAAACTTTATAATATGGTAATTACAGTACTTTCTCGTCTTTGTTTTAATTATTTTTGTCATCTGACCAATTCCTTTAATAACTGTCAATTATAACTAACAATTTTGGGTGAGACACAAAAGAATTAATACTGGATAAATAAACATCATTACATGAATCTTATTTATGTGCTAATTACAAAAACACTTTATAGCAGATACAGTGAGTGGATGATAACCTTGTATGTCATAACAATTGTCAAGTAAGTTACAGTGGGCAGATGATAATCCTGTATGTCGAGACAATTGTCTAGTAAGTTACAGTGGGTGGATGGTAACCTTGTATGTCGAGACAATTGTCTAGTAAGTTACAGTGGGTGGATGGTAACCTTGTATGTCGAGACAATTGTCTAGTAAGTTACAGTGGGTGGATGGTAACCTTGTATGTCGAGACAATTGTCTAGTAAGTTACAGTGGGTGGATGGTAACCTTGTATGTCGAGACAATTGTCTAGTAAGTTACAGTGGATGGATGGTAACCTTGTATGTTGAGACAATTATTAAACTAAGTTCTATATAAAACTTAACATGTCATAAGAGTCAAGTATTACTTCTTATTTTATTATAAAGACAGAGAATAAATAGTACTATTAATAATTAACTGTACATCCCATTAAAACTGCTAAAAATTATAATCAATCAAAGCCATACAGGCTATGCCTAGGTCTGGTAAAACAAGTGCATATTAACCATACACACCAGTTAAGAATTACTTAAACTTAAGCTTATATAAAAATTCAAAATTAGTTATTTTTTAATTAAAAAAAATTAGAATTAGACATCTGTAAACAAATTAAATAAATACTAGCATAATTAGGCCTAGGCGAACTTGAATTAAAAACTCGATAGGATAATATATAACCTGAAATTAAACTTAGTTACAAAAATCTTGTTTAAATATGCCAGGTTTTGGCCAATAGATCGAGTCAGACTAAGTTTTGTTTGTCAAATTCAAAATATATTAATTGCTATTCAGGGTAATAATACCAAACTGTTGAAGTCAGGCAGGAGTAATGCCGATGATACTGTAATTCTGGCTCACACACATACCCATACAGGGTAAGGCCAACTGTTGAACTTATGTAAGACTAGTATAAAGGCCTGATTTAAGAATTAGTATAAATATTTAAATATAAATACATAAATGCACATATAAATATGTATTATATATAATATATATTTATATATATTATAAATATATATAAATACCAACACAGGAGCAAGATAAAACACCCAATGTACCCAGTGATTCATGTCCTATCACCTCACCCTAAAACAAATATAAACATTAACAATGTTATTGATATAGTGTATGTGTGTGTTGTACCTAGTAGCCAGAACGCACTTCTCGGCCCACTATGCAAGGCCTGAGTTGCTTAATAGGCCGAGTGATTTTCTTTATTTCCAATTGGTTTATTTTAAATATTATTAATATATTATATTAAGAACATAAATTACTGATTTAGTTATGTTAGTTTAGGTTAGGTTAAAAAAGGCTAGGTTAAGTTAGGTAGGGTTGGTTAGGTTCGGTCATATATCTACGCTAGTTTTAACTCAAATTTTAAAAAAATTTGTTTATACATAATAAAATAAATAGCTTTATCATTTCACAAGAAAAAAATAAAAAAAATATTGAAATTCAGGACAACTTGGCTTATTAGGCAAATTGGGCCTTGCATAGTAGGCCAAAAACTGCATTCTGGCTACTAGGTACAACATACACATACACGCACATATATATATATATATATATATATATATATATATATATATATATATATATATATATATATATATATATATATATATATATATATGTCGTACCTAGTAGCCAGAACTCACTTCTCAGCCTACTATGCAAGGCCCGATTTGCCTAATAAGCCAAGTTTTCATGAATTAATTGTTTTTCGACTACCTAACCTACCTAACCTAACCTAACCTAACTTTTTCGGCTACATAACCTAACCTAATCTATAGAGATAGTTTAGGTTAGGTTAGGTAGGGTTGGTTAGGTTCGGACATATATCTACGTTAAATTTAACTCCTATAAAAAAAAATTGACCTCATACATAATGAAATGGGTAGCTTTATCATTTCATAAGAAAAAAATTAGAGAAAATATATTAATGCCACATGCCACATGCAGCAGAGCTTTACTTTCCACGGTGATAGCATAATATTTTTGAGATGAAGCTTGTAATTTCCCAACAGTAATGGAATAAGGCTAAGTAAACATACTGTACTAATATGTGCCGTATTAAATAGTTTCTGAAGGTTCTCCCACATTTAAAATGTTTAGCCAATCACCTGAATGTACCATCATGTGCCTTTTCATAATTTCAAGATGATTGAACCTCTTACCACATTCTCAACACTTGAGAGGTCTTTCATCAATATGCACTGACATGTGCTTCATTATAGCACTACGTTCCTTACATGTTTTACTACACAGGGAACAGTTGAAATGAGTTTCAATGGAATGCACCATCGAGTGCCTCCTCATACTTTCAAGATGACGGAATCTTTTCCTTCACTTTGGACACTCATGAAGTTTGCCATCCGTATGTGCCAACATGTGACTCTTCATAATTCCAAGCTGCCTGAATTTTTTCCCACACTCTGGACATTCGTGAAGTTTGTCATCCTTATGCACTAACATGTGAGTCTTCATAGTTCCAAGCATCCTGAATTTTCTCCCACACTCTGGACATTCATGAGGTTTCTCATCTGTATGCACTATCATGTGCTTTATTAAGGCACTTCTTTCCTTAAATCTTCTGCCACAATCAGCACACTCAAAAGGTCTTTCATCTGAATGCACCATCGAGTGCCTCTTCATACTTCGAAGATGACGGAATTTCTTCCCACACTTTGGACACTCATGAGGTTGGTCATCCGTATGAACCAACATGTGACTCTTTAGAATTCCAAGCAGATTGAATCTTTTCCTACACTCTGGACACTCGTGAGGTTTTTCGTCCTTATGTGCCAACATGTGACTCTTCATATTTCCAGGTGTCCTGAATTTTTTCCCACACTCTGGACATTCATGAGGTTTCTCATTTGTATGCACTAACAGGTGCTTTATTAGGGCCCTACGTTCCTTAAATCTTCTGCCACACTCAGCACACTCAAAAGGTCTTTCATCTGAATGCACCACTGAGTGGCTCCTCATATTTCCAAGATGACGGAATCTCTTCCCACACTCTGGACATTCATGAGGTTTGTCATTCATATGAACCAACATGTGAGTGCAAGTAGACTGAATCTTTTCCCGCACTCTGGACACTTGTGAAGTTTGTCATCCCTATGTGCCAACATGTGACTCTTCATATATCCAGACTGCCTGAATTTTTTACCACATTCAGGACTTTCATGAAGTTTCTCATTTGTATGCATTAACATGTGCTTTATTAGGGCACCACGTTCCTTAAATCTTCTGCTACAACGAGCACACTCAAAAGGTCTTTCATCTGAATGCACCATCGAGTGCCTCCTCATACTTCCAAGATGACGGAATCTCTTCCCACACTCTGGACATTCATGAGGTTCGTCATCCGTATGAACCAACATGTGACTCTTCAGACTTCCAAGCAGAGTGAATCTTTTACCACACTCTGAACACTTGTGAGGTTTTTCATCCTTATGTGCCAACATGTGACTCTTCATATATCCAGATTGCCTGAATTTTTTCCCACACTTTGGACATTCATGAGGTTTCTCATCTGTATGCACTATCAAGTGCTTTATTAAGGCACTTCGTTCCTTAAATCTTCTGCCACAATCAGCACACTCAAAAGGTCGTTCATCTGAATGCACCATCGAGTGCCTCTTCATACTTAGAAGATGACGGAATCTCTTTCCACACTCTGGACATTCATGAGGTTTGTCTTTCGTATGAACCAACATGTGACTCTTCAGACCTGCAAGTTGACTGAATCTTTTCCCACACTCTGGACACTCGTGAAGTTTGTCATCCTTATGCAGTAACATGTGAGTCTTCACATTTCCAAGCTGCCTGAATCTTTTCCCACATTCTAGACACTCATGAGGTTTATCACCTGTATGCACTAACATGTGAGTCTTTATATTTCCAAGACGACTGAACTTCTTCCCACACTCTGGACACTGGTGCGTTTTCACCTTCATTACAGGAGCAGTTTGTATCATGGTTTTCCCTTAATACTGCTCCTGCTGCTGATTTTGGAGCCACGATGGAAGTGGTGCTGGATGTTAACTTGTGTTTCCTTGAAGTGTAAAATGAAAAGCCGTGTGACTACATTGGCGTCGCCTGTCGGCAGAAAATAATGCGCCTTGAAGTAAATAAATGCACTGGTAGGCAGATGTTTGGGGAGCCCCTAGAGTCCCTCAGGAAGGCAAGTGCCAGCCTATACCCCAATCAGAGAACACTGGGTAGCCAAAGTCAAGGCCTCTCCTCAACTCATACTGAAATGGGCAAAAAACACAAAACCCCTTCCAGATCCCTCTGGCAGATCACCACACCCAGGAGATCACCACACCCAGGAAACCACCGCGCCCTGGGGGCACACCAGGAGTGCACCAAGTCCTGAGGGGCACACCAGGAGTGCACCAAGTCCTGAGGGGCACACCAGGAGTGCACCAAGCCCTGAGGGGCACACCAGGAGTGCACCACTCCGGAGGGCACACAGGAGACGGGGACTGGTCAAGTCGTATACTGCAATTTCGGATACCGGGCTAGAAACAACTTCGTTCACTGAGAAGTTTGTACATACAAACCATTCCGTTCGTATATGCGCTGGTTTGTGTTCGCTGTTGTTATCATCTGAATAAATACATGGCATTTGTTCATATAATTAGCGCTTCCATTATTAGAATTATTTATCCATTATTAGAATAACAAGGTGCAAACCATACCCCCTTACAGTTGAAATCTATTTATATACAAGAAGGTACATTGGGTTGCGAGAGTACATAACATATATTAAGAGGTACATTGTAGCAAGATTTGAGATTAAAGGATTTAAGACTAACACGTTTAGAAACAAGGCGCCCCCGAAGGAGGCTATTATTTGTTATGCACCCCATACTCAACCAGTAAGTAGTGGAGCAAAACATAGATTACATAGTCATAAAGTCTTAATCAGACCAATTCAATTCTATTTCTTTCTTTATTATGCACCCCATACCTATCCCGTGGGCGGTGGTGTAAAGGATTACAGAGGCACATAATCGGTTCAGGAACTGAACCCTCTAGTTCGTTTAGCTAAGCAAATAACAATTTGTGACGCTAGTTACAAAATTATTAATATTATATATATACATGTACACACTCTCATACATACATGTACATATATATATATATACGTATACATATATACATGCACATACATATCTAATCACCTACACAAATACACACATCAATAATCTTTGTGTCACAAGTGATCAGTAAGAGGCTCACAACAGTCACTATACAAGGCACTTTACATCTATGGTGAGTCACACAGTTACTAGTCTTGCTGCACACCCACCCAACTGGGCGGCAGCATTACAGTCATTTGCTCCACACCCATCCAACTGGGCGGCAGCTTTACAGTTATGTGCAGCATTACCTACAGTAAGCAAATTTTGGATACTTCGCTAAGATTTCGAGCAGCACATCATTATGAATGAAGTACTTACACATTTCTTGGACACTATTGATGGTGTTATCCCTAAATTCCGCGATTTTTTCACATTCCATTATATAATGGCGCAAAGTAAGCGAATAGTTCTGCTGACAGAGTTTACATTTAGTCAAATCTACATCAGCAGATGTTACAAACTCCCAGAGGTACTTGTAGCCGAACCTAAGCCTAGCAGTGGTAACATCTAGAAGTCTGCTAACATTATTGGATGACCCATAGACGTGCGGTTCTTCCTGCATAATAGAATGATGATAGATGGAGTAACTGGTGTGAATTTCACTTTGCTTCAAGTCTCCGAAATTTAGCTGATGTTCCTGGGATATTGCTGCCCTCAGGCTGCTCAAAGGCAGTCCAAGTTTGTAATCAATTCCCTCTTTACGAGCAAAAGTCTTGGGCAACTCATCAGTTCTCAGTGGCTATTTTTACATTATCATTTACAACTAACTTAAGTTAAATAACAACCAGTAAACAGACTGCTGTTTTCTAATTCTAGTTCAGGCACTTCCTGGGATAAAACGCGAACATTCCTTGAGGAACTGTGAGGTGCTTATCTGTTTTTCCTCGTAACGGTCCCAAAGCTTCCACAAATGTTCCTGTTTCTCTTCATTGCTCTTGCGGCGACTGGACTTTAGCTTTTGATCAGAAACCAGTTGGTATTGCAAGGTTACCAGGGACGCCTCACGGTACAGTAAGGGGATTAAAATATATAAAGCCAAGTTGTCCCTCACTGCCCATTGATTCAAACGCTGGTGCCATCCTTCTACGTCATTGTTGGTCCTCACCAGTCGTCTAAATGCACACCAGTTCCCCAATTCCCACACACTGTTGCACAGCCACGTATTTTTTTTATGTAATGAGTTAATTGTGTCGTTAAGGGTGGACTGCTAGCCGACTTTTCTAATTCAGCAAACGCCTTACAATTATGTAGTACATACGTACCACATAAGTACGTGTGTGTTATACACGTACACACACACACACACACACCTTGTCAAGCACAGGACGAAGCTTGAAAAAGTTTAATGGTATGCCAATAGGCTAGTCCCAGGACTAAGAGGCATGAGTTACGAGGACAGGCTGCGAGAAATGCACCTCATGACACTGGAAGACAGAAGAGTAAGGGTAGACATGATCACTACCTACAAAATTCTCAGAGCAATTGATAGGGTACATAAAGATAAACTGTTTAACACGGGTGGTAGGCGAACAAGGGGACACAGGTGGAACTTAGTACCTAAATGAGCCACTGGGATGTTAGAAAGAACTTTTTCAGTGTCAGAGTAGTTAATAGATGGAATGCATTAGGCAGTGATGTGGTGGAGGCTGACTCCATACACAGTTTCAAATGCAGATATGATAGAGCCCAGTAGGCTCAGGAATCTGTACATCAGTTGATTGCCAGTTCAGAGGTGGGACCAAAGAGCCAGAGCTCAACCCCCGCAACCACAACTAGGTGAGTATACACACAAACACACACACGCGCACACACACGTACACACACACACGTACACACACACACACAGACACAAACATACACATACTAATGCCTCTATTCACCTTGCAGTAAATAGGAACCTGAAAGTCAGGAAGCTGCTATAGGCTGCATCTTGGGGATGTGTGTGTGTGTTAGATAAAAATATATGTTGTTTAGATATGTAACGGTTCTATTGTTACGTAAAGTATGGTGACAAATAAACACAGACACTAAGATACTATATATATATTTGGTCGAATATACAGAAGTACACAGGTGATACGTTGGTGTGAGTTGAGCGCACTGAGCGTTGGTACAGTATCTCGCAAGGGATACAAGACACTCCGTACATTGACAACATCGCACACTAATATTTTTACCACTTCGGACACCAGCTTTAGACGTTTCGCATATGTGTACGTGTTCCATATTAAAACGACAATATAATGCTATTAACAATTAAAATCTTCTATTTAACAGGCATATAGTTAATAAATGAAGTTTAGTGATGTAATAGACATAATCCGGAGTTGGTAAGGACGCCGCCCGCCAGCGTAAACACAACACACCCGAATGCCCACAAACACGATACAACGCACAAAACACAACACTTCTGTCAGTTTTTGGATAAACTCCTTTTATATTTATTATGTGAGAGTTATACATGTATAAAATGATAACTATTATAGGTAAGCGCCTAATATTTAATATTAATCAATAAAAAAGAAGTCAGAAGCCACACGCCTGTCTGTACATGTCTTTTGTGTAAAAGTATTTTGGGCGCTCATGTACTTGTGCGCTAGCTGGCGTTCACAACTGTTCTCGCCTACAAGCATTAGAATTAAACAAACATTTATTTTTTCATTTATATACAAGAAGAGAAGGCTACCCTTGAGTCTGTAATATTCATCTGATCACTGGTCTCCCATTTGGTCCTCATTGCTTTATCTTACTATTATTGAATGTCAATAACCGTATTATGCAATTTCAATTTCTTCTATTTCTTTCTTTATTATGCACCCCATACCCATCCCGTGGGCGGTGGTGTAAAGGATTACAGAGGCACATAATCAGTTCAGGAACTGAACCCTCTAGTTCGTTTAGCTAAGCAAATAACAATGTTTGACGCTAGTTACAAAATTATTAATGTTGTATACACATGTACACACACTCATACATATATATATATATATATATATATATATATATATATATATATATATATATATATATATATATATATATATATATATATACGTATACATATATACATACACATACATATTTATTCACCTACACAAATACACACATCAATAATTTTTGTGTCACAGGTGATCAACAAGAGGCTCACAACAGTCACTATAAAAGGCACTTTGCATCTATAGTGAGTCACACAGTTACTAGTCTTGCTGCAAACCCACCCAACTGGGCGGCAGCTTTACAGTCATGTGCTCCACACCCACCCACACCCACCCAACTGGGCGGCAGTTTTACAGTCATGTGCATGCATTACCTACAGTAAGCAAATTTTGGATTCTTCGCTAAGATTTCGGGCAGCATATCATTATGAATGAAGTACTTACACATTTCATTATGCAACTTTAATAAAGTTGTCCTTCAGCCTTTTGTAGTGTTCAGCTACCCTTATCTTCTGTATGTTCCTCACATTACCAGTATACACAAACATTGACATGTAGGGATAGAGACTCTCAGGTAAGTTAGTAATTTAAATGCACAGTAGCAGTCCTAGGCGTTCAATCCCCGATCGCCGTCCAAGTGGTTTGGCACCATTCCTCCCCATCCCATCCCAAATCCTTATCCTGATCCCTTCCCAGTGTTAAATAGTTGTAATA